CTCTGTTTGTGACTCATTATCCAAGGTATCGCTCAGGGTTTGAAACCGGTTTTCTATATTGAGCATGTGGGAACTTGATGGAATTATATTTGCTTGCTGCTTTCGATCGCTGCTTTTAGTTTTCTGCACGGTTTCGAAATTATTAGACATTTCAGCTGTGATGTTATTCGGTTGGTTTAAGTTATTCAAACAAGCTTGATAGTCCTTTGTTGAAGAGCCAAGGCCGTAGCGAGATTGACCTTCTCGTGCTCTAAATATTCAACTTTCGCTCTCAGATCTTTTATTATGTTGTTTGCTTCTTCCAGGTTATTTCTCAGATTAGCCTTTTCGCTTTCACATGTGTTAAATTTACATGGCCGTGAATTTTCTTTTCCTTCATAAGAATCAGTTCGGTTTTTAAGTTGCTGTATATCACCTTCGATACGCTTGAGTTGTGACACGACTTCACGACAACAACATACAGAATTAGTAAATTTCAGATCATTTTCAGCTAGGGCACTTCGGTCGGGAAGTTGACCGCTACAGTTTGGTTTTCTGCCTTGTTTTTGTCTTTGTCTTTGTCATCGTTCGACAATGATGTCGACTTCTGAACGCCTTCGAGCGTGTTTTTGTTTCCAATGGTTTCACTACGTTGTCCTACATCATGACCTTTGAAATTACCCGACGTGGCAGATTTCACAAGTTTCTCTTGAAGGCTTTCATTCTCATCATCTTGAATTACAACGAGCTTTTGCTTTGTTTTACCATGCCACTTCAACGTATAGCTTTTACTCGTGAATTTCTTTACTTCTCCGCCAGTAGATTTCCATTGACCGTCAATGCCCAAGTCGGATTTTACAAACAGTTTCAGACTTTCATACTTACCTTTCCAAACCAATTCCTCGTCTATTTTTAGAAGATTTGATTGTTTAAAAGGTGTAGAAGTTATCATGACGCCATTTGCGGATATAGGGACCCGACAACTAACCCATGAAGTGCTCTCCACGCTAATGGCAGAAGTGTCGGCGATCGTCAACAAACGTTCTCTCGTCCCCATTTCTATCAATGGCGGCAAGTTCAATTCTTAGCGGATAAATTTTGGTCTCGATGGAGAAAGGAGTTTTTACCTACCCTCCACGTGCGGCGAAAGTGCAAACAAGAATCACCGAATTTGAAAGAAGGCTATATAGTCTTGTTATGAAACAAGGAAGAAGTGAGAAATGATTGGCCACTAGCTCGGGTATGGAAGCCGCAAGATATGGCTGAAAGAAACGCTATCTTAGGTTACGGAAGTTATATCACTACGCACCGCAGAAGAATAAACGGCGGCAACAAATGAAACATTTAAATGTTTAGGAAGAAAATGAACATTTAATCGGTATTTAGTAGTTAAAGTTATAGTAGTTAACCTGCACCGTAACACGAGAACGAACGAATAGCCTCATTACTGAACGGCTGAGTCGTACTCATTCGTAAGATAAACGTTTTCTATTGGCTATGAGATGAAGTCATTATAATACTCGTACATTTACGTTTGTTGTTTATATTCGTGATGGCAGCGATGCCAGGGAGTAATACCATCAATAAATCACATACATTGGTCATTGCTGTTTAGTAGTGTTTACAGCTAGCTGTAGAAAGAGCAGCACATACAATCTACTCGCGGCGCGGAACACAAACAGTAACTATACGCTATAAACAAGTTAGCAGGAGATCCACTTGTGTGCATTTCAGCATACGTCTAAGCGACAGCCTGTGAAAATTCCAGAATAACTTTATGCAAATCAGGCCTATAGTGCAATCGTCGCGTTTCCCGTGTTCCAACATTTGAAACATGAATATGCCTATAACTTGTATAAGTTCAGCTTTGTAAACTATTCTACGCCAAATTATTAATTTCCGATTCAAAACACTATTCCATATTCTCTAAAATATTCAAGTAGTAGACTTCGTTTTCCCCTAGCTGCATCGGCAACAACACTATAACTAAGCAAGTAACTAACCAAGTATGCATGCATGGCAAATATTCGGCCAATCTTTCCAAATAACTTAACGTCTTAGTTTTGGGAGTAATGCAAGGAAAACTCACAGTTGATACTGTAGGTGTTGTTAAAACCTGTTGGCCTTGGGAAAGAGTTCAATTGGAATTCATGTCGTTACTTGAGTTTAGAAAATAAATTTAACAATCTAGCTAAGTTTCGAGTATTCCCAGTGGGCAGTATAGGCGTCAGCTTGTATCACACAATAAGGACAACATACGGTATACTTGTACAATGATATGCAAAGCTCAGTTTTTTCCGTTTTAAACAGCTAAATAATGTCTTCAACGCTTTCTCCGTGATATATTTGCCAGTAATTAACGCATCAGTGGAAGAGTCGATCAATGTCATTAATGGACATTGAGAGAAACGATGCTTTAAATTCATTACTTTCTATGCACTGTTGCCATTAGGCAGCTTTTTTCGTGCGTCACTGTATGCAACATGTTTGTCAAAAAGCAAATGCGTGAATGCGTGAATGCGTGTAAACGTGCTTTCAATGATTTTAAATTTGTGTAAATTTGTAAACGCCGACAGAAGTTAAATCGGGAGGTAGCCTCGCATGAGCTATTATGGCCCGTTCGCTATTTTCCCGTTTAGGAACTGCATGTTTGTTGTATTTGTACGTTATTAATGTAATATATTTAGTTCCTAATAAAGCTGT